GTGTGTGGTGTAAGAAAATTTCCCAGTTTCATTTTTCTGCATGTGGCTGTTCAATTTTTCCAACAACATTTGTTGAAGATATTTTCTTTTTTCCATTGGATATTCCTTCCTGCTTTCTCAAACATTAGTTGACCATAGAGTTGAGGGTCCATTTCAGGGGTCTCTATTCTGTTCCACTGACCTATATGTCTGTTTTGGTGCCAGTACCATGCTGTCTTGATGATCACAGCTTTGTAGTACAGTTTGAAGTCAGACATTGTGATGCCCCCAGGTTTGGTTTTCTTTTTCACCATTTCTCTGGAGATTCAGGGTCTTTTCTCATTCCAAATAAATTTTAGATTATTTATTTCAGCTCTGTGAAAAGAGTTGATTATATTTTGATAGGGATTCCATTGAATATATCGATTGCTATAGGTAGCAGAGACATTTCAACAATGTTTGTTCTTATAATCCATGAACGAGGAACTCCCCTCCCCATTTCTTTGTGTCTTCCTCAGTTTACTTCATGAGTGTTCTATAGTTTTCTGAGTACAGATCCTTTACCTCTTTGGCTAGGTGTATTCCTAGGTATCTTATGGATTTTGGAGCAATTGTAAATGGGATCAATCCTGAATTTCTTGTCTGTCTCATTGTTAGTGCATAGAAATGCAACTGATTTCTGTGCATTGATTTTATATCCCGTCATGTTGCTGAATTCCTGTAACGTTCTAGCAGTATTGGGGTGAAGTCTTTGGGGTTTTCCACAAAAAGTATCATGTCTTCTGCAAAGAGTGAGAGCTTGACTTTTATTTTTATTTATTTATTTATTTATTTATTTATTTATTTATATTCAGATGTCTTTTATTTCTTTTTGTTGTGTGATTGCTGAGGCTAAGACTTCTTTTTTTTTTTTAATTTCTTTCCAGCATAACAGAATTCATTGTTTTTGCACCACACGACTTCTAATACTATGTAGAACAACAGCGGTGACAGTAGACATCCTTGTCATGTTCCTGACCTCAGGGTAAAAGCTTTCAGTTTTTCTCCATGGAGAATGATATTCACTGTGAACTTTTCATAGATGGCTTTTATGATATTGAGGTATGTATCCCTCTATCCTCTGAAGAGTTTTAATCAAGAAAGGATGTTGTAGGGCACCTGGTTGGCTCAGTCGGTTAAGTGACATCCTTTGGCTCAGGTCATGATTACGGGATCCTGGGATCAAGTCTCACATCAGGCTCCCCCTGCTCTCTGGGAAGCCTGCTTCTCCCTCTTCTGCCTGCTACTCCCCATCTTGTGCTCTTTCTTTCTCTGTGTCAAATAAATAAATAAAATCTTAAAAGAAAGAAAAAAAAAAGAAAGGATGTTGTACATTGTCAATTTTTTTTTTTTCTGCATCAATTAAGAGGATCATATGGTTCTTGTCCTTACTTTTAATGATGTAGTGTGCCTGGTGGCGGATATTAAGGAGGGCACATATTGCATGGAAAACTGGGTGTGGTACATAAACAATGAATCTTTGAACACTGAAAAAAACATTAAAGTAATGTATATCACATTGATTGATATGTTGTGTTGAATCACCATTTCTACCCAGGAATAAATCCCACTTGGTCATGGTGAATAATCCTTCTTAGTTACTCTTGGATCCTTCTGGCTGGTATTTTGGTGAGAATTTTTGCACCCATGTTCATCAGGAATATTGTTCTGTAATTCTACTTTAGGATGGGGTCTTTATCTGGTTTTGGGATCAAGGTAATGTTAACCTTATAGAATGACTCTGGAAGCTTTTGTTCCATTTCTATTTTATGGAACAGTTTCAGAGGAATAGATACTAATTCTTTAAATGTTTGGTAGAATCCCCCTGTGGAACCATCTGGCCCTGGACTCTTATTTGTTGGGGGGTTTTGATTACTACTTCAATTTTATTGGTGGTTATGAGTCTTCTCAGGTTTTTATTTCTTCCTGTTTCAGTTTTGGTGGTTTGTTTATACATCTCTAGGCATGCATCTTTTTCTTCCAGATTACCCAACTTGTTGGCATATAATACCCAACTTGTTTTAATAAGTTCTTATAATTTTTGTATTTTTGGTATTGTGTGTGATCGCTCCTCTTTCATTAATGATTTGATTAATTTGGGTCATTTCTCTCTTTTTTTCTTTTTGATAAGTCTAACCAGGTGTTTACCAATCTTGTTAATTCTTTCAAAGTTAATTTTGTGGTTGCCCCATTCATTATTTAGGTGGATGCTATTTAGCCTCCATGTATTTCCCTTCTTTCCAAATTGTCTCATGTGATTGATTTCTAGTTTCAAAGTATTTGGGTCTGAAAATATGCATGGAATGATCCCAATATTTTTGTACTATTTGAGACCTGCTTTGTGACCCAGGATGTAACCTATTCTGGAGAATGTTCCATGTGGACTTGAGAAGAAGGTGTATTTGTTGTTCTAGGATGTAGTGTTCTGAATATATCTGTGATGTTGATCAGGTCCAGTGCATCATTCAAAGTCCTTCTTTCCTTGTTGATCTTCTGCTTAGATGATCTCTCCATTGTTGTGAGTGGGGTGTTAAATCTCCTAATGTTATTGTGTTATTATCAATGGGTTTCCTTAACTGTGTTAGTAATTTGTATATATAATTGGCTGCTCCCATATTTGGGGCGTAAATATTTACAATTGTTAGATCTTGTTAGATAGAGCCTTCAAGTATGATATAGTGTTCTGAGATTTCCAAGTTTCACTATTATATGTGGAGGTTTGGGCCTTTTTGATTATTTGTTTATATAGTTATATAAGTTCTTTATACATTTTAAGTATTGACCTCCTATCAGACATATAATATGGAAACATTTTTCACATTCACTAGGTGACATTTTTTGTTTCATTAATAGTTTTCTTCCCTGTGCAAAATATATTATTTTGATGTAATCCCAGAAGTTTATTTTTGCTTTTGTTTCATTTGCTGAAGAGATACATCTACAATAATGTTGCTAAGGCCAATGTCAATGAAATTACCACCTATGCCTTCTTGTAGGTGTTTTATGGTTTGGTATCACTAATTTAATTCTTTAATTCATTTTTAGTTTACTTTCATGTGTAGTTTAAGTGCTTCAATTTCATTATATTGCATTTGGCTGTCCAGTTTTTCTAGAAATATTTATTCAATAGACTGTCTCTTTCACGTTTACATCCCCACCTCCTTTCTTGTAGATTATTTGAACACATATGTGTGCGTTTTTTTCTGGCCTTTCCATCCTGTTCCATTAATCTAAGTATCCATTTCTGTGCTAGGACCACATTGTTCTGATGGTTATATCTTTGTAATATATTTTGAAACATGGGGTTATGATATCTTCAGCTTTATCATTTCTCAGGATTGCTTTGACTATTTGGGGTCTTTTATGATAACTTACAAATTGTAGCATTATTTATTCTAGTTTTCTGAAAATGATATTGCATTTTGAGAGGGCTTACATTGAACTTGTAAATTGCTTTGTGTAATATAAACATTTTAACAATATTAATTCTTCCTGTCCATGAGCATGGAATATCTGTCCGTTTTTTTGTGACTTTTTCAATTTCTTTCAAAAATGTTCTCTAGTTTTTAGCATACAGTTCTTTCAATTCCTTGGCTAAATTTACTCCTAGGTATTTTATTCTTTTTGGTGAAATTCTAAATGAAATTGGTTTAATTTTAATTTCCAGCCATTTTGCCATTAGTGCAGAGAGATGCAAGATTTCTATTTATAAATTTTGCATTCTGCAACTTTACTGAATACATTTATTATTTGTAATAGTTTTCTGTGGAGTCTTTAGTTTAGTGGGTTTTTGTTTGTTTGTTTAGTATTATGTCATCTATAAATAGTGACAATTCTACTTTTTTCATACCTCTGCATGACTTTCTTATTTCTTATTTCTTATTTCTTATTTCCTTCTCTTATTGCTATTTGTGATATGGATAAACCTAGGAGGTATTATCCTAAGTAAAATAAGTCAGGCAGAGAAAGACATATGTCATATGCTATCATTGATATGTGGAATCTAAAAAAAAATTAAAAAAATGAAGAAACAAACAAACAAAAATACAATAGAAATGGATCCATAAATATGTAAAACAAACTGGTCATGCCTGGAACTGGGAAAGGGTGGCAGAGATGGGCAAATATGGGTGAAGGGGAATGGGAGGTACAGCCTTCCAGGTACAGAATAGGGGATATAGTCAATGGTATTGAAATAGATTCATATGATGACAGATAATAGCTACACTTATGGTGAGATTAGCATAACCTATAAAGTTTTCCAATAAGTATGTTGCACCTCTTAAGCTAATATAACATCACCTACCAAATATAATTCAATTGAAGAGGGAAAAAATGTGTCCTTTCTACCCCTTCTTAAAGGCATTGAACTTAAGCTTGCTGCTCGTCGATTCTCTGAATACAGACAACAAAGGGAGACTAACAAAACCCATTCTACTGAACAGATAAATGTTATTGAGGCTTGAGTGTGTATTGGAACACTCAATAGTCCACGTTCTGATGGAACTTCAACAAGTTAAATACATAATATTGGGGTTTCCAAAATATAGCTTAGTTCATGTGACATATTTAGTATATGTTACACCTGAATCACAAAAATATTTTATTAGAGCATTCTTACGCTATGCCAAAATCATTTTGACTACAACCATTATTATGATAAAACAAAAACAAAAACAGAAACAGCTGTATGAATTTAAGAATTATTTAGCTTATTGAAAGAGGAGAATTAAATTTGAGGTAGAACAAGTAAATATAGAATGTGTTGGAGCATTGATGGAAAAAAATGTGCTATTTCATATTCTGGTTAATTACTGTCCTGTGACTTAAACATCTTTATAAAGTAAGAAAATTCTGTTTCCAGCTCCCCTGAGAAAGAGTTCGTATTATGCAGTCAATTGCTGTATTGTATGGACCTGCTTTATATGCATGTATTATGAAAGCATCCACTGTCTTTCAGGTGAAGTTGCTAAGGAGAAAGCATGGAGACAGGAAATGAGACATTGAGCACAGAATTCATTCTCTTGGGCCTTTTTCCTGGGATGAGACATCCAGGACTCCTTGTCTCTCTTGTCTTCCTCATCTATACCATGGCTATCACAGGAAACATCACTTTGATCCTCCTCATCTGGGCAGATCCCCACCTCCACACCTCCATGTATTTCCTGCTTAGCCAGCTCTCTCTCATTGACCTGGCTTTCATCTCTAGCATAGTGCCAAAAATGCTGGTTAACTTTTTCTCAGGAAAAAGGAAGATTTCCCTGATTGGCTGTGGAACCCAGATCTTCTTCACTTTGACTCTGGGGATTGCTGAGTGTCTACTCTTGACCTTCATGTCTTATGACCGCTATGTGGCTATCTGCAATCCTCTTAAATACCCAATTATTATCAGCCACCAGGTGTCCCAGAAAATGGCCATTGGATCCTGGGTGGGAGGGACTCTGGCATCTTTGGCCCACACAGCCTATGCCATGCACTTTCCCCTCTGTGGCACCCGGGAACTCCACCACTTTTTCTGTGAGGTCAAGGCCATCTTGAAGTTATCTTGTGAGGACATATCAGCCTATGAGAAAGGAGTACTAGTGACCAGCATTGTTGTGGTTCTTCTCCCCCTAAGTTTCATCCTGACTTCCTACACCTTAATCTTCCTACAGGTCCTGCAAATAAACTCCCGTGAGGGAAAGAGTAAGGCCCTGGCTACCTGTTCCTCCCATCTGACTGTAGTCATCTTTTTCTATGGCCCAGCCATGCTGATATACATGAGGCCTGGATCTTCCCACACCCCCATCCTGAACCAGGGTCTCTTTATGTTTGACACCATCCTCACTCCCATGCTGAACCCTCTTATCTACAGTCTAAGGAACAGGGAGGTTGTGGGCTCAATGAAGAAGGTACTGAGGAAATGTCCTATTCAGAATAGGTGTCCATGTTTCAGTTACTAGACACAAAACTTCCAAGTTCAAATATCCCTGGGAGGCAGCAAGGTCTGAGGAAACAATGGGACTCCCTGTGTCCCCATTTCCTCTCCTCTTTTCTCCTGATAATATCAGTTTCACATAACAAAACCAATGAATTCTCAGAAAAGAGAGGAAAAAACAACTATACCATTTTTAAGAGGTCTAAATCACAACCAATTCCCTATGTGAAAATGAGCTTTCACCTAATCCCCTCATCTTGCTTCATTTCTTATCAATTGGAATGGAAAAACCCTCTTCTTTCTTTTAGATGTAGAAAAAGGTATAAGACAATTATAATGTTCTTGGGAAGAAAATACAGAATTTTTTCTAAGATCACAACTCTTTTTAGATTTCATCAGTAACAAACTTCCAAATATCCATTAGTTCCAGGTTTTTGAGCCAGTGAATAAAGCAAAAGTAAGCACTTCCTAACAGTCCTCACTTTTACCCATCTGGTAACAATAAACCATGTCCTTTAACCTCCTAAATATCATGGTTGTTTTTATCAATTTCACGTTTCTTTTCATAATCTCTATCAATAATTGCATACAAATGTTCCAGCTCTGACCATTTCGTTCGTTATGATTTATGCACAATCCTACCAGTGTGATTTGTCTGTGTGCAGAAACCCATCCTCCTGGTCAGGGGTTCATCCTTTATCAATGGCTTCCCAAAATCTATGGGGTAAATTACAGATTCTCCTATGTGACAGAAAGGCCTTGTATGACATGTTTTAGTGAGTCTATCCACAAATTCCACCATCTGCTTAAGGTCCACCAGTGCCAGGAAGCTTGCAGAATCTCCAGGTGTCATGTTCTCTCCAAACTATGCAGACTTGCACAGGCTTTTACTTCTGCATAAAAAGTCATGTGCCTCTCTGCTTTTTGCCTGAACTTCCTTCACAGATCTTAATTCAATACCTATCACCCTGTGCAACCTCCCCAGTTCCCTACCAGGATGACTGGGTAATAATTATCTCTCTCCAGCACTAATACCTCCTTCTGTATGTCCTAAACTTTGCAAATTGTTTGCAATGTGAATTTGATTAGTGAATTCAGTACTGAACTTTATTGGCAAAGCCAGTCTATGTCTATTTCTATATTTCCTTCTTACCCTTTTTAATGTTACTTTCTCTTCTCCCTTATATATTTCTACATAAATTAGAAGCTATAGGAGTCTAAATTATTTATTTTTACTCATTGAGTAATTGTTGTGCTTCTTATAATTTTTCTTAAAAGCAAGATGTCAATATATTATACTTATATTTCAAGGCAAAATTGATTAAAATGTTTTTATATTAACAAAAAATAATTATAAAAGCTATATGCTAATCTGTTTATTTATTTCTAATTGCTTTCACAGAAAGTGGATTTTTCCTCTCAAAGGTAAAATGATTATGTGTCAATTAGCAAGAATATTAAAAACATTATGCTAAAATAAAAATATTATTTATTTAGAATTTCTAGGAAAAAAATAACATCTTGTTAATTGCTAATGTTTTTAAGACCAGCTCAACATTTCTAAATTTCAGTTCCACTATACCCAAGAATATTGAAAATATTAGTAGGGATGGGACACCTGGATGGCTCAGTGGATTAAGCCTCTGCCTCCAGCCCAGGTCATGATCCCAGGGTCCTGGGATTGAACCCTACATCAGGCGCTCTGCTCAGCAGGGAACCTGCTTCCTCCTCTCTCTCTACCTGCCTCTTCACATACTTGTGATCTTTGTCAAATAAGTAAATAAAATCATAAAATCCTTAAAAAATATATTAATAGGAATAATTGGTAGGTAAAACAAGTTCAGTGTCAAAGTACAGAAGATTTGGTTTAAAAAAAGGCTTAAGAGATTTATTTTTTAATGTAACATTTTCTGGGTCTTAAAATGTTAATAAGAACTTCCTAGGGTAAGATAAAGTAAACAGTGTTTCACCAAACATTTTGCAAAATGTCTTGCAGAATGCTTTCTGGAATATTTGCATCTAACTCCTACAGTTATGCTCTTTCAGTGTGATCATAGAAAAAGCTGATAATTGAAGCTGTAACACATGAGACAGCTAAAGATTGGATGAACATAGTATTATATCCATTTGGTATCATGTTAATAAAATATCAAAATTTTGAATGAGCAATTTTGTTTTCATGATTATTTTCTAGTACCAGGAGTACAAATGTGTTCCCAAATATTCTATTGAATCATATTTTTAAAAGACACACTACGGGGGCGCCTGGGTGGCTCAGTGGGTTGAGCCGCTGCCTTCAGCTCGGGTCATGGTCCCGGGTCCTGGGTTCGAGCCCCGCGTCGGGCTTTCTGCTCGGCGGGGAGCCTGCTTCCTCCTCTCTCTCTGCCTGCCTCTCTGCCTACTTGTGATTTCTCTCTGTCAAATGAATAAATAAAATCTTTAAAAAAAAAAAAAAAAAAAAAAAAAAAAAATGGTGTAAAAAAGTGAAAAAAAAAAAAAAAAAAAAGACACACTATGGCTCTATCAAAGCAAAATGGTTGAGTAGTAGCAGACTGAAATGACTTCGGTTTCCAGGAGTTCAGCTAAATAGTTATCAAAGAATTCCAAACACCTACAAACTCAACAGAAGATAGAAGAAAAGAGCAGCAATTCTAGGAACAGAAAATTGACCACTTTCCGGAAGGTAGGATGTGTGGAGAAATGAATCTGAAATTATGGGAAGATAGACTTTAGGGGGAGGCCCAGCTTCTGGCAAGGAATAGAGCAACAGAGCACAAAAATCAGAACTTTTAGAAGTCTGCTCCACAGAGGCATATCGCTCCAGAGGCTAAGCGGGGGTGGAGCCCTCAAGGGGACAGTGTGGTCTCAGGTCTGTCAGGGTCACAGAAGGATAGGGGGTGTCTGAGTGTTGCAGAGCTGCCACGTAGTGGAGCAGGGAAGCCAACTACAGAGACGGAGCTAAGGAGTGAGCTCTCAGATTGGGGTTACCTTAAACTGTGATCCAAGGCTCAGTTGTTCCACTGCTTTTCAAGCAGGAACCCCACAAGTGGCAGATCCAGATCCACTGGGAGGAGCAGCAAAAGAGCATATGCCAGGAATCTGCTTGGTGTGGATCCTCCAAACTAGGCTGTAGGCCAGGGACAAAAAAGCCCAGTCATAGGCCGTGTGAGTACAAAGTGTGGTTAGAGACCAGGGAGACAGGAGTGATGGACAGTTTTTCTCTGAGGGCTCAGTGATGACTAGGGCCTCAAGCTCTTGGCTCCAGCCAGAGATTGGGAGGCAGCTGTTTTCATTCCAGTCCTCCAAAGCTGTACAGAAAGAATTAAGGGAACAAAATACTAACAAGAATGAACCCAAGCAGATTACTTAGCCTGACCCCTGGAAAGGGCAGTACAATTCTGCCTTGGGTAAAGTCAATTGAGAATCACTGCCAGAGGCCCCCTTCCCCAGAAGATCAGCAAAAACATCCAGCCAAGACCAAGCTCACTGATAAAGAGAAGAGCAGAACTCCAGAGCTAGGGGAAAGCAACACGTAGAATTCATAGATTTTCCCCCATGATCCTTTAGTCTTGAAAAGTTTTTTTTTTTAGTTTTTTTTTCTTATTCTATTTTTAAAAGATTTTATTTATTTATTTATTTGTCAGAGAGAGAGATAATGAATATGCTTATAAGCAGGTAGAGTGGCAGGCAGAGGCTGGAGGGAGAAGCAGCCTCCCTCCAGAGGAAGAAGCCCAATTCCTCTGGGGAGGACTTGATCCCAGGACCCGGAGATCATGACCTGAGCCAAAGGCAGCAGCTTAACCAACTGAGCCACCCAGGTGTCCCTCTTATTCTATTTTTTTTTAACTTTTTCTCTTTCTTCTTTTAATGTTTTTAACTAATTTATCTTAACAATAACTTTTTTAAAAATCTTTTTAATAAATCTTCATTGTTATAGTAATATTTTATTCCTTCATTATAATTAACCTTATTTTGTGTACACATATAGGTTTTTTTTCTGTAAAATGTTGAGACACAATTTATTCTAATAGATCAAAATATACCCTAAATATAGCACATGGCTTTGTTCTAGTCTCCAGCCTGATCACATTCTCTCTTCTTCTTCTTTTTTTTTTAATTTTTTTTATTAAATTTTATTTTTTATAAACATATAATATATTTTTATCCCCAGGGGTACAGATCTGTGAATCGCCACGTTTACACACTTCACAGCACTCATCATAGCACATACCCTCCCCAATGTCCATAATCCCACCCCCCCCAACTCCCCTCCCCCCATTAACCCTCAGTTTGTTTTGTGAGATTAAGAGTCACTTATGGTTTGTCTCCCTCCCAATCCCATCTTGTTTCATTTACTCTTAACCTACCCCCTTAACCCCCCATGTTGTATCTCCTCTCCCTCATATCAGGGAGATCATATGATAGTTGTCTTTCTCTGATTGACTTATTTCGCTAAGCATGATACCCTCTAGTTCCATCCACGTCGTCGCAAATGGCAAGATTTCATTTCTTTTGATGGCTGCATAGTATTCCATTGTGTATATATACCACATCTTCTTTATCCATTCGTCTGTTGATGGACAAATAGGTTCTTTCCATAGTTTGGCTATTGTAGACATTGCTGCTATAAACATTCGGGTGCACGTGCCCCTTCGGATCACTACGTTTGTATCTTTAGGGTAAATACCCAGCAGTGCAATTGCTGGGTCATAGGGTAGTTCTATTTTCAACATTTTGAGGAACCTCCATGCTGTTTTCCAGAGTGGTTGCACCAGCTTGCATTCCCACCAACAGTGTAGGAGGGTTCCCCTTTCTCCGCATCCTCGCCAGCATCTGTCATTTCCTGACTTGTTAATTTTAGCCATTCTGACTGGTGTGAGGTGGTATCTCATTGTGGTTTTGATTTGTATTTCCCTGATGCCGAGTGATGTGGAGCACTTTTTCATGTGTCTGTTGGCCATCTGGATGTCTTCTTTGCAGAAATGTCTGTTCATGTCCTCTGCCCATTTCTTGATTGGATTATTT